AGTACAGCTTCTTTATTGTTATCAATTTTATTTAATAATTTGAGAAAAGAATCAAATATATCTTTCCAAAATTTGTTTCTTGTATCTTTTTGTAATTGAGCAATGAATTGACTTCCACAATTAGATAAATAATTTAAGAAATTATCACCATAATCAGCATTTAATATACTAATCCAAGGTTGTGATGGTTTAAATAGTTTTCTTATCCACGTGCATTTGAGAGCAGCTATGAAATTGCTGATATCTGTCATTTTTAAGCCACCAACTAAATATGGTTGAGTTATAATGCTGCGTTTTATCCTATCAATATTTGTACCCCAAATAAATAGAAATAAATCCGAATTTAGTTTTTTAATAAATTCTTGTGAGGGATTTGGAAGTGGAAGAAATAAATGTACCAACTTTGGAATTATAAGCGTTTTTATTACTGTTACTTTACCTATGGGAGTTAATTGTCTTTGTTTCCATAGCGATAGTAAAGTGCCTATCTTGGAATATTGTTTGTTATAATTAAGAAGAATCATATCATCAAGGTTTATACAAAAATCAAGTCCTAGTAATGAAAAAGATGAATTACCCCATTCTAATTTCCAGCGGTCGTGATGATAGACTACTTTACTATATTTTTTGCTTCCGATCCATACAATTTTGGTTTTTGAACTATTTATAAGACCCGAGAGTTTAGAGAAAAAATCAAGAGTGTCGAGAGAAGCAAACAGTGATTGTTTAGAGCCATCAAGAAATAAAGTTGTATCATCAGCAAACTGTGATATTTTATGCTCCTGATTTATAAAAATTCCGCATATATTTTTATTGTTTTTTATTAAAATGGTCAAAATCTCTGCACATAAAATAAAGATGTACAGTGAAATGGGGTCACCCTGACGACAACCTCTCAATAAATTGAAATAGTCCGAACAATGGCCATTTTGTATTACGCCAGCTTGCATATTAGAGTTAAGAACTTTAATCCAGTTTTGTATAACCTTTCCAAATTTGAAAAATTTTATTACTTTATATATGAAGGACCATGCAACCGAATCAAAGGCCTTTTCAAAATCAATAAGAACTAATAAACCAGATATATTATTGCGCTCAGTTTGATCCATTAAATCATCGTCGTGTATTTTCACTCATACATCTACCACTTATAAACCCTGTTTGAGAATTTGAAATCAAATCTTTCAGGACAGACTTAATTTTAGCTGCTATACAGCCTGATAATAGTTTATAATACACATTTAATAGTGTTATTGGCCTCCAATTTTTTAGAAAATGTCTTGGCTTATTGCCCTTTGGAATACGCGTTATTATGCCTAGTCTTTGATCAATTGCAAACATTTTATTATCATATGATTCATGGATGGACCGCAAAAGAAAATGTTTGATATGAACCCAAAAACACTTATAAAATTCTGCCGAAAAACCAGTGGAACCTGGTGATTTATTGGATTTCATTTTATTCAAAACATTTTCTAATTCCAATAGAGTTATTTGACCTTCTAAAGATTGAGATTGGTTATCTGAAAGTTTCTTTATATTGTAATCGTTCAAATTAGCATCTAAGTCATATTCTAATAATTCATCTTCTTTCGAGTCATAAAGATTAGCATAGAATGACTTGACCTGATTTATAATTACCTCTTGGTTGACTACATTTTCCCCGGTTTCTAATTCCAACCTTTGAATAGTTTTATTTGTATAATTTCTAGTTTCCAAGTTGCAAAAATACTTAGAGGGTTTCTCACCATCTTCTATCCAAGTAGCTTTTGACCTAACTATTATACCAGCCATTTCCTTTTTCCTTATGTCAAAAAGATTTTCTTTGCATTTTTGCAAGTTATCAATGTCCGAGTTGTTATAATTACTTGAGTCAATATTTTTCTCTAGGCTATCTATATCATTAATTAATGTTTTTTGTATTTTATTCCTTTCCTTGTTGATGTAAATTGAATAACCTATGGTTATTGAACGCAATTCCATTAAGAGAACTGGAAAGAAAGATGTGTCCGAAATTTGTAACTGCAGATTAGCATCATCTATTTGATCAATATAATCTTTATTATAGATTCTCAGTGCATACTGCTGTCTGATTTTTTTTATCTTTTTAATAATTGTTTGAACGTAGAGCTCATCATTCAATAGGTCAGTATTAAATTTCCAGAGTCCTCGACCACGCTTAAATTTATTAATTATTAATTCCAGTGTTACTGTTGAATGATCCGAGCGATACCCTGCGTTAATTTTAATATTTTTCACATTATTTGTTATATTATCAGACCAAGGGAAGAAATCTAGCCGGGCTTGTTTTTTGGGATTACTCTTACGCCAGGTATAGCGCTTTAATTGGGGATTTAATATACGATAGTAATCAATCAAATTGCATTCAGACATAAATTTTAAGACATATTGACGCGATTTAGGATTATTTACATGCATGTAATTAAACGTATCCAATTCAGGATCAAGAACTAAGTTATAATCACCGCATACGATAGCATATTAAGCATTATCAAATTTATTCAGGCATTCATGGATATTTTGAAAAAAGTTCGGTTTATCTTTATTTGGTCCGTATAAATTAATCAAAGTCAATCTTAAATTATCAATACTTAAATCTAGTACTATAAAATTACCTTCACTCCCTCTGATGGAATTATATATTTTATGTTCAAAAGTATTGTTAAGTAAAATTGCAACTCCCCTAGAATTTGAGGTGTGGCACCGTTATAGCCCCATTTATTATTAATAACTTTTTCATCTTTGTCAGTGAAATGCGTGTCTTGTAAACAGGGAATATCATATTGCTTTTGTCTATAAAAATGCAAAACATCATTTTGTTTATCTGGAGATCCAATTCCTTGGCAGTTAATTGTAATTATACTGATAGTACTCATTAATATTAGCGAGAACGGAAGCCTCATGAATGAAAGATAAAATACATTTCAGGGTGATAAATGCACACAAACTATATACAGACAAAACTACATAAATTCTGGTACCATTTGCAGTTATAACTAAAGAAAATAAATAAACGAAGCTCACGTTTATAATAATTTTACATAAACGTGACTTAAACATAGTCAGTTAAGAGTGCTCTCTTACACAATTCCAGATTAATTTTTTGTAGAATAGTATAGTCAGAGTGTCTTTCATTAATCCTAAAGAAAAAAAAGATGAAAATTCTACTATCAAGAATGTTGTAAACTTGAGTAAATAAATTTTTCGACCTACGAACAGAGCAGAATGCCCCTATAAATAATGATCTTACTACTAATCAATTACATGCATATTCTTAACAGAAGAAGGACAAAAAGAAGCAAAATAGACAATAGACAATATGGACTCAAACAGGTAAAATAACTGATATGGCGAAAACTATCAGTATAGGCATTCACATTGTCTCAAACCTATAGTGGGCCATATTAATGTACGTAATATTTCTATAGTATTCATTCCTAATTCCTTATTATTTTTATCTGTTTTCACAATTACATGCAAAGTCCACTGATAACTATATATGCAACGGAGTTGTTGTCGTGTTCTACTTGCAAACTTCAAAGTAGATTATTTTTACAAACTGTATAGTTGTTTGTAAGAGACTGGATACGGACTTACAAATGAGATAACAGCTAAGATAGTTGTTTGTAAGAGACTGGATACGGACTTCCAAATGAGATAACAGCTAAGATATTAACAACGTTTTATTTACACAATATTCAAACTAACAAGAGGTCTACACTAAATCTGGAGAATCCACCTGAGATCTTCTTCCTCTTAGCACGACGTGATCCTAACCCTTGCTAACGAATGAATCCTATGTCCTTCCTCCTTCCTTGCCAAATCGAGCCTCCCAAAATATGTTTTCGCCCTATATATATCCTCCGATAGGTGTCGCTCTGAACAAAGAAAATAATTTGAATTTTCTTCCAAATTTGGGCCGACATCTGGAGACACTAGTCTATTTTCTATTGAAGAAAATAATTTGAATTTTCTTCCAAATTTGGGCCGACATCTGGAGACACTAGTCTATTTTCTATTGTTACCAAGTACTCAATTAACAATACCCAAGATGTTAAGGTTGGTTGGTTGGTAGATGACAAGTTAACGTTCGCTTCCAGCGGATGCTGATATCGCAAACTAGGTAGTTGTTGGTAGTCGTAGTAGTTGGTAGTTGGATTGGATCAAATTGGATGATTCGGTGTTGTTGGTTTGGTTGTTGATTGAAGATGTTAATCTTATAGTAAGTACTTATAGGTAACAATAGACCTGTCCAGATAATTCTAGAGTATAGTAAATGCTATTATACCCTTTTGTTCCCTTCCTTGCCAAATCGAGCCTCCCAAAATATGTTTTCGCCCTATATATATCCTCCGATAGGTGTCGCTCTGAACAAAGAAAATAATTTGAATTTCCCTCCAAATTTGGGCCGACATCTGGAGACACTAGTCTATTTTCTTCTGTTACCAAGTACTCAATTAACCATACCCAAGATGTTAATCTTATAGTAAGTACTTATAGGTAACAATAGACCTGTCCAGATAATTCTAGAGTATAGTAAATGCTACTATACCCTTTTGTTCCATTACGACCCAAGGAGGTAATAGCATTAGCGGTGACCTCTTTTGTCTCCAGTCCAGGCAACTTTTTACAACATCGTCAAGGCTACAACTATAACTAAAGTATCAATTCATTTAAACCTCTTAAAGAGGGGATTAAAGAGAAATAGATCTCTTAATTAATTTCCATATTTTATTACGGAAAAACTTGATCACTTAAAATTTGGAATAACCCACACACCACTTTATCTGAACCAAAGGACTAAGTTAGACAATATTTTTTTAAGGGATCATACCACATCAAAGAGACATAACAATACCCACACATAATCTTCACCTTTAAGGAAGCGATCATGCTGGACTTTAATCAAAATTGGCCA